ATCTATTCTGTTAAATAGTTCTAGCTTAACCTATAATACTAGCTAGCTAAGGATATCCTTAGTAACTTTATAGTATTTACGTAACTTTTGCTTTATCTAGTAAAGAGTATAGTTCTATAGTATAGGCTTAGTAACCTACCCTAGTCTTTTATATAATAGTCTATAGTAAAATATCCTAGTCCTTATTTCTAGATTCTAGGAAGTGCTTACCTACCCTAGCGCTATAAGTTCTAGCTAGGGGGGGCAGTCCCTTACTAGGTAGGTTTCTAATCTATATATATTATAGGTAGGTAGTTTCTTATTATACCCCCTATAACTCTATAGCCCTAGCTAAGTAGTTAACGTTTATATAGTGCCCTAGGTTCTTAGCTAGTTTATTAGTAACCCTCTAATTACTATAGTATTCTAACGCATTCCTTACTTTATCTTAGCGTTAGTTATATATAAAATAAAGTAGAGCTAGTTTACTAGGCTTTTTAGTAGTAGGCCTATTACGTAGTATTCTTATAGCCTATTAGCCTTAGCTAAACCTATCTTTATTTTTCCTAGTGCCCTAATTAACTAGTCTATTTCTAGGTTAACGTTTAGTAGTAGTTAGGTAGTAGCTTGCTCCTTTCTAACGCCCTTTGCTACCTCTATAATTTCCTCCTTTATAGGCGTAGCTTTTGCTAATTCTAATATCTAATATGCCTACTAAGTATCTTCCTCTATTTAGCTAGCTAATATATATTTTATTCCTTCTCTTTACTAATAGATTCTTTTAATATAGGTATAGATCTTCTCTAGCTTATAGCTTACTACCTTATTACTATTAGGCCCTCCTAGTATACTAAGCAAGACTAGCTCTTTATCTACCTAGGGTAACCCTCTAAAGAAGAAAAATCTAACTTTACTTTTGTGTAGCTATTTAGATACTAGGTAGGTATTACTATATACTATAAAATTAGTATAGTAGTCTAAGAGTCCTAGGAAGTTTCTAGAGGCTTCTTATATATACGCATCTAGGAAGGTTTAGGTACCTATTCTTTAGGCTATATCCTAGTCCCTCTAGTACTCCTTTATAGCTTCCTGTAGCTCCTCCTAGTCTTGCTTCTAGTAGGGTCTAAGCTTCTTTATAAAAGTTCTATATATAGTATTATAGAAGTCTAGCAGAATTTTTAGCTAATCTACTTTATCTAGCCCCCTATTTTCTACCTAGTAGTTATAGTTATCTAGGAACTCTATAACCTCCCTTCCCTAGAACTAAAGGTTAGTTTTCCTAGGCCTTATAGGGATAAGGACTCTTCTTAGGGGTCTAGAGGTTTCTATTTTAGTTAACCGTAGAGTAATATTACTTTCTCTAGGTATTATTCCTACTAAAAAGGATAGGCTTAGTTAAGGTAGTAGGCTTCTATAAATATTAAAGGAGGTGTATAAACTAGTAATATTAATTAAAATTATTAGATTACTTAGTATCTACTTGCTTATATTACTTCCCCCCTTACCTATCTCTTACTTTTATAAACTATATTTTATTTTTAGTAGATTCTTATTATATTAGTAACTTTAGCCTAGCCCTATTTTCCTGCTAATAGTATATACTATCCTATAGCCTTTGCTATAGCTTTTCTATTAGTAGCAATGTTCTAGGTATTCTAGCACTTCTAGTATTGCTAATGCTTCTTATAGTTCTAATTATTCTAATAGTTGTAGTTATTCTAGTTCTAGTTATTCTAGTTCTAGTTATTCTAGTTCTAGTTATTCTAGTTCTAGTTATTCTAGTTCTAGTTATTCTAGTTATTCTAGTTCTAGTTATTCTAGTTCTAGTTATTCTAGTTCTAGTTGTTCTAGTTCTAGTTGTTCTAATGTTTTCTAGTTAGCCTCTTAGTGTTATTACTCTATTCCTACTAACGCGCGTTAGCCACGTCCTAATATAGGCCTACTATTTTTGCCTTAATAATATTAATTATTAACACTACCTATTTTTTAATTTTTCTCTGCCCTCCTTATACTTAGAGAAACGTCCTCTTAGTTATATGCTACTAGGCCCTCCCCTTTACTAAGATAAGATAAGTTCCCCTTAGGCTTTGCTATTTAAACTAGCAGGGAGAGTAACCTATTTAAACAAGGAGAAGTAGGAGGGGCAAGGTTTAATAGTAGTAATCCTATAGCAGAGGATATAGGTTTAAATATAGAAATATAAGTAAAAAGATAATATTATAGAGTTAAAGTAAAGTCTACTATAGTTATTATTTTTCTACCCTCTAATCCTTTATGCCTTTATACTATTCAATCTGCCTAACTTTTTAGGCTAAGCCTTGTTTTTCTCCCACACATCCTATACTACGGCACACTATTACTAGCTTTAACACTAGCACCCTCCTTATTATTGTTATTATTAGAGGAGCTATTAGTGTTATTACTACTATTAGAAGCCTAAAACTAGTTAGCATGCGCCCTATATACACTTAACAAGCGCACTTATAAGTCTAGCTATATAGCCTACAATCTGCTTAAGCGTAGCTATAATACAACGCTGCTCTATAAGGATTAAGCTAAGGAATTAGGGTGAAGTAGTAGGGACCTAGGTAGCTACACCTAAAGGTGTTCTAGTATAGGTAGCAACGTAGTAGTGGCTTAATAGCTCTAAGTTAAACTAGCGCTAGCAGCGCGTAAGCTTAACGCCTGTAGTAATTATATTAGCGTCTATCCTTAGAGTAGTAGTATTTATAACTATAGTATTATAGTTAGCGCAGAGGGCGTATAAATAATTTAATTAACTATTTATTACCTAGGGCACCTATAGAAATTAGCTATAGCGCACCTAAAGTAAACTCTTAGTACTAACCTTAGTACACCTACTATAGTTACTAGTAGTGTAGTGCTTATAGTAATAATACTTAGGTATATTATAATTCTTTTTCTACTTAGCAATATTTTAAGCGTAGTATAGGTAGGTTATAGCTAGGGCTACCTAATCTACGCGCTTAGCTAGCGCGTTAAACGCGTAGGGCTAGGCACTATAGAGGTGCAACTTCTTAATATATTTAGGGTTTAGATAGTAAACTATATTAATAGGCGTAGGATATATAGTTAAGGTGTGTTATAGGTGCTTAAAGATTAGGGTATATAATAGTAAAGTATTTAGTTATTTATAATATATAGAGCTTAGGCCTTAGGCTAAGTAATAAGTAAATAGTTAACTTTCTATACTATAGTATAATAATACGCGCGCACTATGCGCCTATAATATATATAACACGCAGAAGGAACGCTTATATAGCATATCTATAGGTTAAACTATAGACACTCTTTTCCTTCCTTATAGGGTAAGGTTTTTATTAAGGCTATAGGTTGCTACTAGGGACTATAGCTAGAGGGGGAGATTCTATAACAACCCTATTATAAAGACACCTTGTAGTGTTCTAGTTAATTAGGTTTAGTGTCTTAGCGCCTAAGCTGCGTAAAACCTACGCTTTGCGTAGGGCTTAGGCAAGACAAGTATTATTCTCATGTTAATACTATACTAATAGCCATCTCTACACTATTCTATCTAGTGTAAAGCAAATACTATTACCTATAACTAGAACCTTACAGTATAATAATAAGGTAGAATTACCTGCCTATTATTCTATGCTAAGTTAGGCCTAATAAAGGCCTGACTTACTAATATATATAGAGAACAGCTCGCCTATAGTTAGGATAGGTATGTTCTTCTTGTCCTTTTATACAAGACCTATAGGTGTAGGAATCTTATCCTTTTCTATACTAACGCGCACTCCTATATGCCCTTAAGTCGTATAGGATACCTTTTAGATGCCCTACCTACCTAAGTCGTTACATATATTATCTATGTGTTACGCTAGACTATTATTAGATATACTAACTTATACTAATTACTGCGTAGTTATACTACTTATATACCTATTTAATTTATATTATACTATAGTTTTCTAAAAATAAGTAAGGTACGTAGTAGATAGCCTTATAATTACGCAGGTATAGGCTAATTATTACGCGGGTATAGGCTAATAATTATGCGGTTTTAGGCCTGTTAATTAGGCGGGTATAGGCTATTTATTAGGCAGGTATAGGCTGTTAATTAGGCGGGTTAGGCCTAGGGACAGGACAGGCGACAACGTACTAGTAGTTTATATAAGGATACTAAAAAAAATCTAATACTATTATTACTATACCTAATACTTATATTTTGTCTTTTATAAACTACTTTATATACTCTACTAATAGGTCTATTATAAACTACTTAATTCACTCTACTAATAGGTCTATAGTAAACCACACTATATTTATACTACAAAAAAGTAAACTACTACTTTAAACCTATTTACAGGTATATATAAGGTTAGTTTACACCTATATAGTAAACCCCTAGCGTACCATTCTATAGTAAACAATTTTTTACCATAGTGCTACCTAAAACAAGTTTCAACCTATTCTTACTTAGGCTAGACCTTGTTTTTAACTAGACATGCCGTGCCACAGCACAATAAGAACTAGAATAAGGACTACACTTGTTATAGAAACGGGTTTTGGGTTCGGAGGAAGTAGGTTTTTACGGGTGTCTAGTTTTGATTTTCCTCGCATGGTCGTTTCCTGCAAGGCGCTTCGATAGTCGTGCACAGTCCTCTTTAGACTTGTTTCCTGCTAGAAAATAACATTCTTATAATATATAGGTAGCTTAATATCCTTACATTTGTGGTGCTTAGTATAGTGTTAGGGCGGCAATTGCGCGAACACAGCCATTACGCGCGCAGCCTTAGTAATGCGTGTGGACTGTTGTCATTGTGCTAGAGAAATGCCCTTCTACCAGCTCGTGGTTCCTATTGCGGAGGTACAGCCAGAAGGGAAGAGAGTGAAGACGAAGACGAAGACGAAGAAGAAGAAGGAGAAGAAGACTAAAGCTGTATTTGTTGCTTGTCTACGAAGAGCGCTATAAAGGCAACATATATTATCTTGTATACACGTGTACGCTAAGTTACGGCACATTTATCATGTGATTATTAAAGCCTAACATTAGCTCTTCCAACATAATTTCCCTCCATCAGAGTTAGTTTGGGGAGCGTCTTTGCAGGTAAAACAGGTGCTAGCTGGTGCACCAGCTTTCGTGCATAGGCTGTGAAAGGTATCTCCATCAATCCCTACCTCTTTATTAGGGAGTTGTAGCTAAGCTTATCTTAGACTATTATAGCTATACTACATTAGAAGACAACACTTACATAGGGGCCGCCGTGTTCAGGGCCTGGCTTATGAGCTATCCAGTATCCTCCATTTGGCTGAGCTATTCAATAGTATTAACGCAAGTTAAGGATACAAAGTGTTAATTAGGGAGGAAGCGCACCTAATTGGAGCTTATTATTGCACTGAAGTGCAAGTCCAACAGTTGCACCAAGGTGGATGCCTCCCGCTCTCTTTTTCTCACAGGCACAATACTGGTGCTTGTCGGCTGCAGTAAGGGGCCTTGCAACTGTAGTTAGCAAAGGCTATAACTACAACAGTTCCCTTAGGCCATAAATACGTACCAGAGGAGGCTAAGAGACGATAGCACGATGGCGGGGAGATACATGGTGATACTCCAGGTGAAAGGTTAGGCAAACAGAGTTGTATCGTAAGTGGTACTTTGGATGAAGCTTAAATTCTCTTAAGATATATATATTTAGGATTAATACCAAGGACGCGCGTGACATATCAAACACATATTAAACACTTAAAAGGCAATTAATATTGTTTCATGCCTTATTTAGCGTTATTTAAAACTCTAGGCATAATAACATGCTAATATAATTATGCAAGGTAATTATATGAATAGGACCGATGCGGGATAGAGACACACATGGTCACATACCTATGACTTCCTACATTAGATCTAAAGACAAGCTAATAGATTAGTATTTTAAGAATTAATTAGATAGACCCAAAGCATTCGTTAAATAGAACCTATCGTAATATTCTGTCGCATGCAGCAGATAAGGCAAAAGTGGACACACCTACCCTACCAGACCCCTTTGTGGGATATATACAGTTAGGTATTAGTTTAATATTAATATTTTAATAACTATATAGGAACGTAGCGTCATAAATTATGTAATACGTATTAGGTTTGATTACTATTATAAGAGCATATATATATATAGTATATAAATAATACCTATATATTAAGTCTAATTATAAGCTAAAAAATCTATTACATTATAAGAATTAAATAAATACTTACGCGATGTTAGTCATAAATAGCTTGGTTTCATCTAGTACTAATAGGGAAAGTGCTGATTCTTCTTACTATAATAGAGTAATTATCCTCGCGCTTACTAGTCTATATTAACTACCTAGGGGATTACTACCTAGCGCTATATGTTTTATATAAAAATATATATAAGTATAAATATATAATCTAGAATATCTAGAGTAAGATTATAGTAGTGTAAGAGTTAGAGTAGGATTAAGTTTAGTAAAGAGTATAGGTTATTAAATATATAATACATCTATTTATATCTAATATACTTATATATAATATGTAGTATAAAGGGTGTAATAGTTAAATAGATTATAATCTATTATTATAGTTTGTTATACAACTTAATATACTATAAAATAAAGATCTATTAACTAAAATTAGCCTTAGAGGAGAGATCTACCTTATACGCTGTGTAAACTAATATAAAACAAGCAAAGGTAACTTAGGTATTAAGACGCGATTATAGGTATATAAGGCGTTAGCCTAGAAGGCTACAAGAAGATTTGTAACACATATTTTAGGTTCATCTACTCTACTTTCAATCATGCATTCAATATCTATCCTCTTTTTATTCGTTACAATAGCATTTTGCTTACCTGCCTCTAACGAGTTATCATTATTGGGCCCACGAGGTTTACTTGACGCATGTTTTGGAGTTAGCACGTCACGCGTTGTGGACCTTTATATTACCTTTCCACAGGCCACCATCCAACAAATGCAAGATTATGAATTCGCGCCTGAGGCTGGTCAGAATATACCTTCCCAAGTGCTAGTTCCATTTAACGCATTCCGACCTGATAGTCAACATACAATTCAATCGCGCGGCTGGAGAAGTCCAGTAGTAAATGGCCGTTTTTCAGTAACCGTCGAAATTCTGTATCAGGCCGCTGGCGTCAACTTGGCTGTTACTTTAGCAGCCGCAGCTATCAATCCTAACAGAGATGATGATCTTAGAGGGACATATACCACTGGATCTACCATCCCACAGGGAGAAGGATCAGCATTGGTTCGATTAGAAAACCTTCCTGACGGCCAATATGAATACAGTTTAGGAGGAAGTTGGGTTATAGGTAAGGATTGTCTAGAAATAACATATCTTACCCCTAAGCTAACTACTAGTAAGTCCCACTTGGTGGCTAAAATAGTGTAGTGGAGCGTTTGTTACGGTTAAGGTAGAGTGTGCTTAATGCAAGGTATAAAGGAGTGTTTATTTGTATTTCTATAAAGGACTTTTAGAGCCTTCCTATATACTCTTTTGTATACCTAGAGTGTAGTATATTAGGCTATGATAGGGCTATATTAGGCTATTACGTGAAGTTTTAGTAGGGTTATAGTATAAGGATCTTAGTAGCTATAATATAAAGTAGCTAGTGTTAGGATAAAATAGTTAGTTCTTAGGAACACTATAGCTTATAGGTAAGTTACTTATCCTACTATAATAGTACTAAACCTATACCCTATAATAGCTGTCGCATAGACTAAAATAGGGCACAAGTAATTACTAATACCCTACCTTATAACATAATATATATAGTAGGATATTAATTAGATAGTAATATTATACTAATAGCCTATATATTATACTATATTTCTAGTAGAAAATAACCCTAAATAGGATTATAGAGGAAATTAGAAATATTTACACTACTATAGGTTCTGTAGGGGATGCTATAGTTACTATAGAGGGTTCTAAGAATACTATTTCTATTTTAGAACAATCTAGACTAGTATAGTTACTATAGCGGGGTATAAAGTTCTTATAGGGACGTATGCTTTATTATAGGGAGTAGATGCTATAATTATAGATACCTTAGTCACGTGTAATCCTTATATAGGCTTAGCCCCTTACTAGTGCTTGCCTATAGATAGCTCCTATCCTCCTAGATTAGGACAATATAATCACATTACACATCGCATTTAGGCCCTTATCGTTAGACACTGCACGGTATTTGAAATACGGCACAATATACGATTGTCGCACTACGGCAGATGAATTACGATCCGCTTACCTATTACTACAACTTTTCATGTTGAACCTTCAATTATACAAAGTCGACAACGCAACGTCATTAGCGGTACGCCCTGACCGGTACCAGTACCTGCCGCCCCATCCTTGACCTCTGCGTCTAAACAACCGATATGCCACAAATGCCTACACCCAAACAACACCAACTTGCCAGACTCCCCTTGTCCTGACCCGGAAACCCCAAGCTCTGCCTCACTAGGCCTCTTCCCTTTGCCCTTCGTTCCAATTCCACCCTCGCTCTCTTCCTTTACCATCCTCCTTCTCTCCCTCTCGCCCTCGCGTTTCTCCCAGCTTTCCCATATGCCTGTCCCAGCCCCGGGCCCCCAGGCTCTCATCCGACAGCCTTCGCAGACCTGGCCGCGCGGCCTCCAGCCACAAATCCTAAGCTCATTGATCTCAGCAACGTGTTCGAAGGACTCTTTATCTAAGAAGCGATTTGTCAGACTGAGAATCGTCTCCTCAAAGGTGTACGCCGCGAAGATTTCCGTGAGGACCGAACGCAGATGCGATAGCGAGGGCGAGTATGTTTGTGTCGCGCGGGCCAGGAAGCAGCGCAGGATGCGGAGAAAGGAGGGGTTAGACTGGGCATGAATTTGCCTGTGGCGAAGTGCTGGTAGAATAGGTGTGGCGTGCGGATGGGCAGAAGTAGTAGCTTTTTGCTTTGTAGGAGTAGTCGTAGATGCAAGGAGGGCGGAGAACACCTGTTGGACCGAAGTGCGAAGTGTGGAAACTATGCGTGCAGTGTCGATTGTGGGGGAACTGGTCGGTTTGATAGACGTGATTGCATCATTGAATGATCCGACAGCACAAAAAGTTTCGCGGATGAGGCGTACTGCAGTATCGATGAGCTCGAGCCATAATACCTCATCTAGGACGAGATCTGACTCGCAAATCCCGCCGTAGGCAGATCTTCGGTGGTCAATCTGAGACTCCGGATCTCGCTCTATTGCACAGGTCTGTCCTTGACATAGCCAGATGCCAACCTTGACATACTTTTGTATATCATCAATCAAGTCGAGGATTGCCTCCTCAGAGTTGGAAACATCGGGCGTGTCTGTTGCCGCAGTGATTAGCCCGATCAAAGCAGTCTCCAGAGTCAAAACGTGCTTGACGAGGCGGTCCATGGCATTTTGTACTAGGCCATCGCGAGCCATGAGTGTCACTGCCGCATCAATAGCTCCGCTCTTCTCTAGAGCTGGAAGCACTGGCTCGAGTCTTAGATCACCTGACTTCAGTGAACTGACGAAACCTGCGACGTGCGAGCTATTGTAAGTACACATGAGCTGGACATAACGCTCCATGAAATGAGATGGTAGCGTCTCGTCCACAGAAGCAACATCGACATGGCGTGACTGCTCGGGTTCAATCAGTGCTTCCAAGTAGCGGTACTGCACATCTGCGTCGCCCTCGAGAGCCATCAAAACATCATTTAAGAGCTCGGGTGAGGATTGTTTAAGCATAGCTGCGGTTCGCGCGGCATCTATCCCTGCGAATTCAGTCGCGCGGTGAGTGATAATGGCTGTGACCTCGTTAATCTGCTTCTTCGTCAGGGCTTTTTCTGGCCGCAAGAGCTCGGTAACACAATCGAACACAGCGCTCCGGTCCTCAGTGTCATCCAGGTATGTTTCGAGCAGCTTGGCATATTGCTGCGCACCTCGGTAGACTGACTTGAGCACCCGATGAAACCTGGCATGCTCAAATAGTGGAACAAGGCTTTGGGGATTGGGCGGATGATAGATGGAAAGCAAATACTCTACAGAGAGTTGACAGTCTTCCTTAATAGCCTCCGTTGGATAATGGCAGAGCCCCACGAGCACCTTGTGTAACGAGGTCCCTGGAAGCATGATATGTTGTGGGTACTTGGGCAAATTGCGCGCAACAAACATGTAGAAGTAAATGATGTCTTCAGGATCGAAGTTTCCGGGCGTCATGATGCCAAAGAGGATGCTGATGATATACTGGCGCGTTGGTGTGAACGTTGAGCCATACTGGACGCCGTTGCCATCATCACCGCTTGCAAGATCCTGTTCGCCGTTGAGAAAGCCATCTTCGAATGCTTCATTCAACATGCTCATAAAACTCGATGCATCAAAGTCCAGAACAAGTTGTAGGTATGGAAAGGGCGGTTCAGTCTCTCCATAATTTCGTGTCAAGATAACTGTGCCTGAGCCGGGTGGCCATCGAACATTCTTCCCTGAGAATAAGAAGCGGTACATATCCTTCTTAGCACTAAAGGCATGCTCATCTTCCATTAAGACGCCGGCAGGATATATTCGTCCGGTAAAAGTATATGCGAGGTACGCGAATATCTTTCTTGCTGATGACAAATAAATGTTATCACGTTCTTTCACGTCGTGATCCACGAGCTTGATGAGTTCGAGTATGTTGGTCAGGGGCGTAATGTAGTCGCCAATAGCACGAGTCCATACATAAATCAGTGCATCATAAAGAACGTACTGCTGGCATAATGTAGTGACCTGGTGTATATCCATCGTATCCGTACTTAGTTGACAGATCATCTCCTCAAGCTGAATAGCGCGGTTTGCTGATGCATAGAAGGTGATAAGCTCCTTGAGTACGTTTGGTGGTACGGCGATGATCTCTCCTGCCAGGATGTAGGGCTCCAGAGTCTCAAGGAAGGCTTTCTCTGCAGATGCTTCCTGAAAGGCGTCAAAGACATCTTCGAAAAGAAATTCCAGCTCTTGCATGGCGATCAATGCTGCAAAGACTACTTCGGCTAGCTCTTTGAACCGCTGCTCCCGAGCTTCGTGATCACAATCATCATTACGTGCGAAGGTGTACTTCATTGATGCAGTAATCATTTCGATAAGCTTTTCCTGGACAAGGGCATGTCGTGCATTATCGTCCTCAGGTAGTCCGACCGTCAGTTTGTCCGTGTCGCCGATATAGTATGATGTCGCAAGACTAATGGCCGAAATGAAATCACCGTCTTCCATGAATGCTAGTAATCGGTCGGCCCAGTTTGACAAGGTACCAATTGACAGATCGTTGAAGCCTAATAGGAAGAGTCGTCCCTTATAGGCTCGAAAGCTCATGTAGAAGGCATCGGCCACAACGCCATGCAACGAGCCATCGTTCTGGTCGAGTTGTTCTATGGCAGAATTCAGTTGCCGTGAGAAAAGATCTGAGTGATATATGTGCTTTTGCAATAGATCGAATGAATCCGTCACGCGTAGTTTAGTGTCTTCAAGGATTACTAGCCGTTGGCTGATAGTGAGTACTCCTAAGACTGAGCGGCTGAGCCATTGAATGCCCACAATAGCTTCGTCCGCTTTCCATCGATTGCGTGCTTGGAAATGGAGTTCAGGTGGCTTTTCCTTTTCCGAGGCGGGCGCGAGAGTAGCCTCGACATCAAGTATCGTCAGGACGTTGGACCATGAGTACGCGAGTTTTGTCTTTGAAACAGACTTTCTAGTATCATTGAAAGGGGTCTTGAGTTTGACAGCTGGAAACCATGCTAGGCATCCGCTCAGAGTACCATGGGGTGTAACGTCTTTTGGGCGGGGCGCTTTATGTTGAGTTTGAGCGATCGGGGTTGTTGACACGATGACCAGGAGATACGGGGTCAACATGGCTGTGAGACCCATGTCATCTGTCGGCTGCTCTATATTGCCTAAAGGCAATGGGGCAAATGCAAGTACCGAACTCGATTTGCGCGGTTTTTCCATCGACTTTGCCGAAAGCGGGTATCTTCCAAGAATCCGAGAAGTCTTCACGGTTCGCGCAATTGCCCCCAGTCCACGTGTCGCCAGATGGGAGAAGGCCATACCCGCATCGTCTGCTGATACTAGAGCCGTATGCCTAGTTCCCAAGAACCCAATGTGGAGAATTGCAGCACCTGATACATGGCTATCTGACTTCTTGTCGTCAAGCCTCGCTCGGTCTAGGGGCGGTATGTGAATGAAAGGATTCGCTGGTTTCGCCAACTCCCACGTGAAAATATGACCTGTGGCATGTCCGCCAGCAACAGTAGAATGGTCGGCAGAAGTTGAAAGTGCGGTGATAGGGCCGCATTCAACGGCTATGTGAATTTTATCATGTGAGCCGAACGTCTCGTTTCAGCGTGGATGGGAACTCACCCTTGGTGCCCGGCCCAATAATAGACTTGAGTGTTTGCTGATAATCAAAGACCAAGATAAAGCCCTTTGACGTCCCTATCACCAATGAAACCGTGACATTGAGACAGGTGGGTCGGCCAAAGTTGCGCCTGCCCACTTCCGAGAAGAGCTGTGTCGTGATCCTTTTCAGCTTTGTCCATCGCACAACTTCCCAGGGAGCTTGCGTTGTGTCTATGTCCAGTCCGCCTCCATCCGTAAGCTGTCGAAACACGGGGTTGCTAGATACAGAGGACTGGCGTGAGCTTGGGGACAAGAAGGATGGCGATTGGACGCGCGGTGAAGCTCGTGGCGAAGGCGAGAGGCGTGATGAGAAGCGGCGTTCGAATGGCTGGAGAGAATTCGGTCGGTGCGCTCGCAGTGAAGCATGTGATGCGGGTATACTGCTGCCGGGCGACGACAATCTCGAACCCTACAGGAATCAGGCGGTGTCAAGAGAAATTGTAATAATGCTTTCATGACCTACCTGAATGGATGGTGTGTCGTCCGGAATGGAAGCAGATTGTGGACTCTCTGGTCGCTCGACTCTAGGTCTTGATGATGCCTCTGACACCGACTCATGCTCATCTGGTACCGGTAGAGGTATGCTCTTAGTTCTGGCAAAGGTTAAGCCGTCAACGCTGCTGCCTATGACTTGACGCTCGAATTGAGAGTTGTCGTTTCCATTCGGGTTCAGGGTCGCTTCGTCTCGGCCATCATCATCCAGCTGGGTTGATTCGTGGTCTGCGCCATGTCCAATGTCTGTCTCGTCTTCCTGGTCATTGCGAGCGCTGGAGTGGCTCTCCCCTGAATCTGAGCTCATGAGGCTCTTGATCTACCCAGCATCCCTTCATACAATTAGGATCTGAGTATCGTGCGATGGCTATTGATTGTGATGTGCGTCTAGATCATGCCTAGGTCCAACGACAACATGGACCTACGTCGAGATAGGCGGCCGCGGGGGTGCTCGGGTGCGCGTGGCAGGAGATGCTGATGCCAGACGTTCGAGTTGGGTGAGATGGAAGTTTAGATGACAGCGCGCAGATGGACGAGGGCATCGGCTTCAGCTTCAGCTTCAGGGACTATGGCTTATATGCTACCGGTACTTGTCGAGTTGCTCCGCGCCGACGGCAGTTCACAGCTAAGGAAGGTTGACCAGGCGGGAATAGAGTACAGCCAGACGGTCCAAGCTTGGAACGTCATGGATCTGGGCACCACTTAGTGTCTGTCACTACAACGACAACTACACCAGACACTGTCACTGTCCCTCCACACTCCCACAAATGCCAGTCGGACCACGACTTCCTCCTCATCTCACGAAACGAGGTCGCGACGACGATGACGACGTCGAGCGCGCATCCAGTCCGGAATCAGGCGACAAGCGGCGCCGCGTCCAAGGCCCAGTATCGCCACCTTCCGCTCCCCCATCGTGTGGCACTCTAGGCCCTTCACTGCCCCCAAGCCTCGAGTCGCATGCCAGCGATTCCAACAATAGCCATAGCAATGTTGGCCCTGCGCATCCACAGCCCTCGGAACCTGCGCGCATAGTCGGCCCAGCACCACCACCCGCCCCACTCGATCAACGGCCAGCACATGTCGCCGAAAACGACGATTCTGACAGCAGCGAGGATGAATTTGGCCCTGCTCCACCACCTCCAGATGGCGCCTACATTAGCCGTGGCAATCGCAGCTCGCCGGCAGCTCAATCTGCATTCGACACGGACCCTCGATTCAGCGAAGCACCCAAGCGCGCACAACGCGACGAATGGATGACCCTCCCTCCCACGCAAGACGATCTCGCCGCACGCATGGACCCCACAAAGATGCGCGCTCGAAAATTCAATTCGACCAAGGGCGCAGCAGGTAGCGGTGCCATGAGCAGTGCCTGGACCGAGACTCCCGAGCAAAAGCTCAAACGGCTACAAAACGAAGCCTTGGGTATCGCTGCACCTTCCAATGCGCCTGTAGGAAATGTGAAGTCGAAGCACAGTGAAGAGGAGGAGCGGAGGGCGCGCAAGATGAAGGAAAAGATCGATGCGGCGAGAGGCAAGAGTCTGGTTGAACAGCATCAGGAGAAAGGCGAAGGCAAGGAGAAGGAAGATGATCCGAGCAAACGCGCATTCGACTACGAGAAGGATATGGCGGTCAGTGGGACGGTGAGCCACAAACAGCGGAGGGAAATGTTGAATAAAAGCAAAGGTTTTAGCGATCGGTTCAGTAGTGGGAGCTTCTTATGAACAACGCAACTTGGATTCATACTCGATCACACGTTCACGTCTCATGAGCATTTATTGTCAGTTCAGCTACCGAGGTTCGCGCAAGTACAAAGCCTTGACTGGAGAGATTTGGGATTACTACCCATAGTTGAGTATAGTATACTAATACTGGTAACAGCTGCAACGATGCATCTTATCATTCACAATAAATCTCCCGGTTCTTCAATGCTTTCACTGCCTCGAAGTGCGTCATCCTGAAATGGATCACACCGTCCTGGCGATTAGCTACCCACAAGAATGACAAATGCGAGACTGTGTGGGGAAGGATTCTCCTGGTCCGAATGTGAGGTATAGCAATCTTGAAAAGGGTGTAGCCTTGTGTCATGGGAACCTAGAGATCCCTCAAGCTGAATTTGCTGTCGTTCGAAGCCAAGGTCGTAATGAGGTACTCTGTGCTCTTCTGAGGATCATGAAGGCGTAATTTCGCAGCATACATGGTTGGTTTGTGAGAACTCGAAATTGGTCCACAAGCTGACGTGAGCGATCTGCTGCACCAGGTGTCTACATAGTATGTATGACTCTGCATCGGAGTGTCCTTGGGTGTTTGACCACCTGTACCCAGCTAAGGTTCAAGGTTACTCTGAGTTCCAAGGTTAGGGGCCGGCGGGAAAGACTCCGGTAACGCCAAGCCCCTACCCACCTCAGCACAAGAGCTCATTCGGGGCGGGAATCCTAACCTGTCACAGACACAAACAGGAGAGTTTGACGAAACTAACGAACAGTAAGTAGAAGCCTGTACCTACTTTTTCCATCATGTTTTAGACAACAAGATACTTTTCAAAACTTGTAGCCCTCACATTGCAACCCGCCACCGCGGTCTGTGTATCTACCACTGTCCTTACCTATCACCCTGACCGAAGATTGGCCTTGTGCCAGTAGGGCGTAAAACAACTCCCATGATCAGCAGGCAAATCCAAAGGCAGGGCCGTCTGTGGGCCGGTGTAGAAAGACACGGATACACAATGCGCTTCAATCCGATGAGACGGAATGCTGCATTCATGGCATGTTGTGGCGATGGTCATCCCCCCCTCCCCCAAAAGAAAAATAAGGCCAGTCAATGGATTCGCAGTCTGGAACATCTTATGCAGAAAGGAATGTTGATAAGATTAGTGCCATCCTACAAGATCAAGCAAATCGATCCAGGCGGCTAGGAAGACCAATGATCCCTGGTCAAACGGATATGTGGTCCGTTCCACGACTCCACGAAAGACAGGGTTGGTGAGGTTATCATTCAAGAGTCTAAGCTCGAGGGGAGATCTCCGTGTCGCAATCTGAATGACAGCCGACGGCCTCATCGTTACTGGTCCCTGCAAATACCCGAAATTCACCAAGCTGCACCAAGCAACATTTGGCGCCTAGTTTCTGGAAATCCGTAGATATTGACAAGACTCAGCAGCCTTGGGCACCGCTTGGTCATTTCCACAGGTTCAATTCGCAATCTTGGTGGTACTGTTCGTGGTGCATCCTGCCACTTTGTCAACTACAATATCATGCCTGGCAATTTCTCGTATCGATCTTGCAAATTCTTCTCCTCTGATTGCTTCTACCCCACATGATGCTGGTCAATCCGGCACGGTTGACATCCTGCTCGCGAGCGTCTCTGCTGACATACCTCGGACTCACGGCTGCCCTTTTCTTCTTTTTAAAACAGACCAACTCATCCTTCTTTGTCCATCTCAGATATGACAAGGACGCGGCGGCTTCGAAAGCTTTTACTTCAAAACTTATACCCTTCTGGCAGGATCTCGCCAAGTCTCTGGAAGATGCGAGACCATCATCTCCACCAGTTGGAGAGCCAGCCGTTCCCATGTCCGCGCACGATCGCGAATGGGAGCCCCTAAAGAAGAAAGAAAGACCAGAAAGGCTGAACCTGACGCTGGAAACCAAAACCGAACTCATGCAAGCCCATCGTCGAATGAGACTTGCTGTCAAACAACTGGCTCCAAACCTGCCAGTTGGCCAAGAAACAGGCATCGTTACAACTGGCGGCATTGAGCAATTCCCTGTCCTACTCGTATCTCTCCGCATGCTGCGTCGGACGGGATGCAACCTTCCAGTGCAGGTCTTTGTGGGCGACCAGGAAGAACACAATCAAGTGCGCTCTACTTGTGAGGGAGTCCTTCGGACCCTCAATGCGCGATGCTTCATCGTCTCGGACGTATATTCCAAGGCTGCTGCAGCCACTCCAAGTCACTACCAGTTCAAGGTCCTTGCCATGCTCTTTTCTTCCTTCAGGCACATGCTTTTTCTCGATGCGGACTCGATGCCTGCGCAAGATCCAACACCGCTTTTCAACGTATGTACTACGATGATCTTTATCATCATCATCATCGTCGTCGTCGTCATGGGCACACCTGCTAATGCAATCTAGTCCTCGCCATACACTACACATGGCCTCGTCACATGGCCTGATTTTCACGCCAATACAGCATCGGCCAGTTTCTATCACATAGCTGGCCTTCCCGTGCCGCCCATCACCCGTGGATCAGAATCAGGCCAAATGCTACTGAACAAGCATGTCCATCGTGAAAGTCTGCTCATGATGGTCTACTACAACTACTACGGACCCGAGTATTACTATACCCTGCAGGCTCAGGGCGGGCCAGGCCAAGGCGACAAAGAGACCTTCGTCGCCGCTGCCCTAGCCGCCAATGCCCCATTCTACGCCGTCAAGACGCCCATTCGCGCCCTGGGCTTCCACCGAGACGGGCAATTCATCTTTGCCGGCGCGGCGCAAGCAGATCCCATCGAGGACGCGCAGTACGACCCGCCAGCACCGAATCCCATGCTACCAAACTACCAGTGGACAAAGACGGACAAATATCGTTCTGGAGAGATTGGAGCAAGAAAGGCCAGGGCCTTCTTCGTCCACACCGTGTCCGACCATTCCAAGATCAACCCCACAAAGGTTCTTCGGATTGGGGGAAAGGCTTGGGAGGCCAATGGCAAGCAGCATCGCATCTGGGGTGAGGAAAAGTCGTTGCTGGATGTTTTTGGGTATGATGTGGAGAAGAGGATGTGGGAATGTGTAGGGATGGAGGCATGTAGAATAGACCAGGAGTTATGCGGGGATGTGAAGAGCTATTACGAAACCGTATTCGGAATGAAAATGCACATGTAGAAAGTCTGAGCATGTACGACACATATTTTCAATCGTAGTTCTTTTTTTCAACATGTCGTCTGCTACCTACTCTCGCAGCGGGCAATGCATGTGCACAATCTGCAAGGCTGCTCGCTAGCCAACACAGTAGCAAGCAAGTAGCATCACGATTCCGATCAGAGCGAACAAGGAGACTCTAGTGTCCACAGAGGTAGATCAAGTTCCTCCATCTCGTTGTCACATTATATAGACTATATAGACAGGCATAGGAGTTACAGTACCAGCTCGGAAACCAGCGATTAGTATGAGATTTCACCGTCCATGAACGGAAATGTATGCATGACACACTTGCACCTCAAACAACCACAGTTCCAGTCGTGCGTATTCCCACGTTTCCGCATCGCATCGCACACGTCATGTCCGCATCGACCAGATTACACCGCCATGAGAACAGGAGGAAGTAATTGGCAAAAGATATACTTACAAGCTGTTCAGCCAAGCAAGTTGGAAACCAGAAATGCGTGAACCGTGCAGCACGACAAGGCAGACACCACGCAGACGATGGGAGGGAAATTCAAGGTCAAGGTCGGAATCATTATCAAAGAGTTCATTATCTACGCTTGGCTAGACCAGAAAACCAGGCCTAGAAGCAGTGTTCACAGTGCTGAAAAGAGAGAAAAAAAAGACAGAGCGCCTGGATGCAACACAAATCGCTGAGGAATGCTTGAATGTGTCCTTTTGAGTCCGTCAAAACGCCCCGTGAGTAACCGTGTCGTTTTGAAGTTGGAGAAAACGAAAAGGGAGGAGGGACGTTATAGACTAGCTTCTGTGCTGCCGTCGTCCAGGTCATCATGGGGTGTCAAATCCTTTGTCCCACCTTCCTCGTCAGAGCTCTCCCCGTCTACACTGCTATCCGTCTCGTCGTCATCTTCCTCTTCGTCATCGTCATCGTCCTCCTCCTTCTCAACAGGCATACCAGGCACAGGTTTCCACTGCACATAATCGCTCTCAACCCACCTCTTACTCTTCGGCAGCACATAGGGGTCAAACGGAAAATACGCATCCATAAGAAAGGTCTGTTCGCCGCGCTTGCCCGTCAGCGCCGTCTCGCGCCCTCCAATACCATCGAGGTAGCCGCTCGCCATACTCCGCGCCAGACGAACGCGCTTGTTTGTTTCGATGAGCGGGTAGATGTACATGAAACGCAGGTGGTGCGCCATGCGCGCAAACTGCGATACAATTGTCGGCGCACAGATCTTGAGCGGGTTGAGGCGGCAAAAAATATTTCGGCGAAGGACTTCTTGCACGGATGAGTGCCATGTGAAGTCGCCCTCGTGGTAGATGATGTCCTCGTCAGTGGGCGGCGTGTCATCTGGGGTGATGATGAGGTCGCGCCAGCGGAAGCAAAATGTGTAGATGAGTGCCTGTGAAATGGCGTAATAGGTACTGTAGCGGCGGAGATCGGGGCCTTTGCATAAGGGTTCGTGGGTTATGCGCAGTGCTTCGAGGTGGTAGCAAAGAAGGTCGAACACGTCTCGTACTACTTCCCGGGAAACGTGGGCGCCGCGCGCGATAAACGACGCAAGGTAGGCCGCTGCGCTCGCGCGCATGAGTTGTGGACGGCCTTGGTCAAAGGCAAGATGCGAACAACAACCTGCAAACCGGTTGATGAGATCTGAGGAAGTTTGAGAGAAATGGAAGAGGACGAATTGTGTATGGCGGGAGCGATAGGTGGGGAGGATGATGTTTGCGAATTGAGAGAGAAGGGATTCGAAGATTTCGTCAATTGCCAAAAGATTGCCCTTTTCGAATATGGAGTCGTAGTATGCAAATTGGACATCCATGATATTGTCCAGTTTGCGCATGAGCTCTTTGATCTGCTTGACGCGCGCTTCTTCTGGATCGAGACTCTCTTCGCTGGAGACGGAGCCATTGTCGCTAAGATCATCATCGTCGTCTTCGGCGTCGTTGATGGCATCGCCTACGAGACGCTCATCGACGTCATCATCCAAGTCTTCCATGTCTACTTGCATCTGAACGTCGATCTTGACCAGCTTCTCCGTGACAAGTGAGAGAATCTCGCCCTTGATCTCTGGCGCATACTCGCTGACTTTGAGTATGTTGCGGATGAACTCGACGTGCGTTTTTGCGTCATCGTCGGAGAATGGGAATGTGTGTGTGATGACGGGGGCGAGGAAGGTGCTGGCCATGGGGCTGTGTCGTAGGATGGACTTGAGCGTCTCGTGCACTCGAGTCTGGAGGCGGACTCGCTGAACAGGAGGGTCGTCTTGCTGCCGGGCATTTACTGGGGGAGGGTTGAGGAACATGCTGACAAGCATCTGGAGAATAGTGGACATGTAACCAGTCTGGACTGACAGCAGCGAGCGGAGGAAGTGGCGGTACGAGCGTACAAAGTGCTCATTGCGTGCAATCCAGCTGCAATCGATGACAGCGTGTACGAGACCCTTGCAGCTGTGGTCGAGAAGGGGCGCATGGTTGCTGAGGGCGATGAGGTACTTTTGCAACAGGCCGGTAAGAGGGGCATCCTTGGAGGTGGGTGCTTCCCTGAACAGGCCCTTGAGCCCATCGTAGGCCGCCTTTTCCCCCGCACCGTGTTTCTCCATCGCCCTCCGTACTTCCTCGCCCACCAGTTCCAGGCTCTTGTCCTTGTCGTCGCTCAGGATGCGCACATCCACATCAGGATCAAACGTCACCCGGCGGCGTTTCAGCTGGCTCGATGGGGCGTTGTTTTCTGCGTCGGACGAGCTGTCGGCGTGTCTACGCTTGAGGCTGCCACCAACGCTCGGGACGACGGTGCCAAGCGCTGCCCTTTCCGTTGAGGCAAGAGAGACCATGTTGAAGTTGAAGTGCAAGAGGTGGTTGGAAGAGTCGGTGGCTACATTTGAGCAGGCGCAACGGTGACGCGGGAATTCGACGTTGGTTGGCGGTGTTTGTGGGCGGGAAGAGAAAAAGTGAAGGCGAGGGCGGGGATGGCCGCACGCGACGGTCTCGTAGGTGGGTGAGACTTTTCAATGGGTCCCAGATTATGTCAGCAAGCTTTTTTATTCTTCACTGCGAACCATGGTGCAAGACTTCAAGTTGGATGATTGCACTCGCCCACATGTCGCAACTAGGTAGATAATAGCTGGGCTTCCTCTTTACTGCTCACATCTCACCACATTGCGCAATTGTGACATCTTGCATCGGCTTGCCCTCGGGGTTTGACACTGTCCTCGTGTTCTCAATCTTGGTGACCACATCCATGCCCTCGATGACTTTGCCAAACACGACATGCTTTCCATTCAGATGGGGTGTTCCATTCTTGGCGGTGATGATGAAGAACTGACAGCCGTTGGTGTTCTGGTCCAAGCATTAGCCATGATACGCGGATGCAACATGCCAGATTGGGACGGGGACAGATGAACGAGACCTGAGACGGAGATTTGACAAACGTACCGGCCCAGAATTTGCCATGGAGAGCAGTCCTGGTTTGTCGTGTGGCAGGGTGAAATTTTCGTCGGCAAACTTCTCTGTGCCCCAGATGGTGCGTGAGCCAGTGCCATTATTGTTGATGAAGTCGCCGCCTTGGATCATGAAGCCTTTGATCTAGGTAGTCGTGTCAGTGATGACATGGCTTGGATGCTGTCTAGGTAGATAGGGAGCTTCGCCTACCACACGATGAAACTTGCTCCCCTTGTAGCCTTGCGGCTGGCCTCGACTGTTTTTCGTCTCGCCAGTGCAGAATTGACGGAAATTCTCTGCGGTCTTGGGCACGACGTTTTGGAAAAGTTCAAACTTGATTCGACCCAATTTCTCGCCTGCGGGAAACCGGTCAGTCTGAGCATATCCCAGAGTCAATCTTGTTGTTGGTTTTGTTGGTTTGTTTGTTTGTTGTACTGGCTGCTGTAGGGTGTGATGCGCAGTCGCAGTCACATGGGGAACTGGGGTGGGGAGAGAATAGGTAATCTCTGTCCAAGGTAGTCTACGCACCTCCTAGAGTGATGTCAAAGAAGACAATTGGATTTTCCTCGGCAGGCTCAGCCATGGTTGGGTTGACGATTGCGGGCAGGGCAGGGCAGGGCAGGGCAGGGCAGATGCAGATGCAGATGCAGATAGGTATGGGCGGATCGTGGAGCCGTTAGCTTGAGTTGATGGGTATGTGCTAGGGCTAGAGTACTGTAGTCAGTACGGATGGGTGTGTAGATGATTGCTGTTGTCGGTAAGTAATTGGTAAGCCAGTGTGTAGAGTAGATGTACCGACTACCTATCTTGGCGAGTGTTCAGTGTAGATTGAGCGGCAAAGCGGGAACGAGTTCGGGTGGCAGTTGGAGTGAGTCGCTTGACTTGCTTTGAGTTTGCCGCGACTTTACCAGGTACAGCAAGACGAAGCAAGGTGATTGGGAGTAGAGTACGACATGCAAGTACTAGAGTAAGTGTAAGCTGCTTGGTGGAGACATTGACTTGACTCAGCTCCGGCCTGCTTTGGGCTAACTGCAAACAGCTAGGTAGTTTCTGGGGTAGAGTAGAGTAAGAATGCAGATGCAACAGCGATCAGAGAGAATGGGTTTTGGTGGTATACCGATAGTACTCTGGACAGGTAGAGTAGACAGTCAGTAAGGACCGGTAACTGGAGTAGCGAGTGTCACAATCAGGTACGGTACCGATGGTAGGATGATCTTACCAACATCTCTCTCTGCTATCGTCATATCCCGCACCATGTTGCCCATTGTTTTCGCGATTCGAACGAAGCCCGTGATGAGTTTCATGGTTGGATCCCCCACGCAAACCTACCTTGCAAACAATGTAATCTGAAACAGTCGATAAGCGGATACTGTGTAGTAGGCATCCATCTAGAGTATTGTATGCGACGGCCCGCAGAGACTCTGCCAGGTTTGAGGCTGATGCGCCGTGTGATCCATCCCCCCCCCCTTCAAGGCCGACAACACCCACCCACACCACGATGCACACACGCGCATGCAAAGTACAATGATTGCAGGCTCAATGGATCTGCACAATGGCGATTCGACTGGTTCCACTTTGATCGCTTGAGTCGGGCCCCTCCCCTCTTCCTTCCCCCATGCTTGCAGGGCCCTCGAACCTTGGAAGTTGCTAGCCTTCCTTTGTCACCCACAGTCTCTCTCTCTCTCTCTCTCTCCCTCTCTCCCTCTCTCCCTCTCTCCCTCTCTCCCTCTCTCTTTCATCCCCTTCTCACCATTCACCTCGATTGTACCATACTCCTCCTCACTGCAACAACGACTGCCATTAATACACGCTGCACACTGCACCCAGGACCGCGAGGCGTAGCCCTCCGCGACTGACAGACTGACAGACTGACAGACTGACAGCAAACCCCAACCATACTACTCCACCTACTCTACCATACTGTGCCTGTAACCAATACATCCATAACTTATCCCATCCACCTGGAGTATATAATCTACCGTACAGCCCGCATGGGTTGATCGCAGCCCATTGGTGATCCCCGCCGCTACGGACAAGAGCTATTCGTTGGATTTCATCGCCATTCCGGCAGTCGCACATCGCCCTCTTGCTTGGCTAGCCCGGCCAGCCGACACTCGACGTTCGCTCGCTCGCCCGCCCGCCTCGCCACGCCTCCAACAAGTGGTGCCGTCACCATCGACAAGTCTTCCACCCGCTACTCTACGCCGACGCCCCCCATTGTGTCCGCCACAACCGCCTCGAATTCATCGCTGCAATCGCTGCAAAACTCGTCGCGCGTGCGCCTGCTATTGTCTTGCTCGACTACATCACCTTTGCTTTCTGACCACCGTCTTGTCTCACGCCGACAGACACACAAACAGACTGCCCGTCCTCTCTGCTAGACACATGGAACAGTAGATGGTAGCCTCCGCTTTCAACCATGTCTACCGCCTCGACTGCCGATCCCGCGCCTACCCAGCCGCCTCAGGGCAACCAGGGCAATGGCAATTCTGGTGGACCTACCAGCTCGCCCCTGCTGTTCTTCGTCGCACTAGGTTTTGGTGTCGTCTTCACAAACCTGTGGTATGTCGGCAATCATTAGTAAGCCCCGTGGTGATGGTTGTGCTGACAAACAAACCCTTCAGGATCATCGTCGGTGTCAAATACTGCTTCCGCTATAATCGTCGCCGCGCCGCTGCCGCAAATGGCCAAATCGAGCCCATCGACCTCACGGCCATGCCTCGTCCGCATCGAAGGCGACGGGAAAAGAAGCTCATGACCATGGAGGAAGTCAACGAGCGCTTCCCCCTGATCAAGTACAAGATGTGGAAGTCCAGTCGTGAGACACAAGGGCTGCCATCGAGTGGAGGCATAGCAACCGCACCGCAGAGCAGAGCCGGAAGCCTCAAGGATGTCGAGGGTATCATTTCAGCAAAGGAGGAAGGCTCTAGCCCACGGCCTGACACGGCGCTCTCCATGGCTCGCGAGGATCATGCTGCCACGACCACGCCTGCGCCCAAGACATCACCACGGGCAAGCGTAGATAGGAAAGAAGGCGTAGACAACGCTCCAGTCAAGCAGAGGGATGGAGAGAAGTCGCCTACGAAGACAGAGGTCTCCGAGACTACGCATACCCCCACCCCCAACGCCAACGTCCGCGAACGAGAAGACGACTCGGACGACGATGACGACCCCATTGCCACAGCTGCTGCTCCAGAAATGCTCGCTGATCCTGGTGACACCTGCGCCATCTGTATCGACACGCTAGAAGACGATGACGACGTCCGTGGACTAGCTTGTGGCCATGCCTTCCACGCTAGCTGTGTCGACCCTTGGCTCACCAGCCGACGAGCCTGCTGCCCGCTTTGTAAAGCAGACTACTACATCCCCAAGCCCCGCCCAGAAGGCGAAACCGAGCCTGCCAGCGGTCGTCGCTCCGTCGCGGTCCTCGCCTCACCGCAGGCCGTCTGGACGACCACACGAGGCAACCCTTTTTCACGCTCCCGCGTCGTCATCATGAATAACCAGGCTAGCCCAGCAAGTCAGACGACGGAGCGTACCGACCGCTTTGGGCGATTGAGAGGGCCCATTCGTCCGGGGCGCGCCGGTTTAGATAACGGGACGACAACGACTCAGCTGGCGGAACAAGTTAGTGGGACATCGACCTGGCGACCAAGATTCCACATTGCTCGTCCCCAAGGTCCTACACTCTCCAACTGGTTCGGACGGAACCCCAACGCTACCAATGAGTCGAGTGCATCGCCACCCTCACAAGTCACGCCCGGTCAGCTCGAAGCTGGTAACCGGTAGTCACGTTGCATCGTCAATGGACCGCACATGGGACGCAAAGCGCTCTTATGACACTGACGACACTCCGCAACTACCACCACCACTATCCTCTCACTCGTCCCTCGTTTATCGCGTAGGCTACCAGGATTTTCAGTCTTCTCTCCACCTCCACCGCACTCTTGGCGCAATGCATGGGATTCCTGTTGTTGCGAATGTTCAAGTCTTGAAATCTGCCCCTTTCTTGTCTGTCTACTTACCCCGCGTGGTGTGGGGACCTTGTACAGTTTTGCTTTGCATCATACCCTTCCTCCCTCCCCTCTCTTCCCTTCCCCCTCCCTCCTCGGGACTCCACATTGAGCGGGTGAGCGAGAGTGGGTGTATATGATTGCTTGGATGAGAGGGGCAGGGATGGTTTGCGTTTACATACTCTATCACATTTGGGATGCATGCTTGGCCATGTATCCAGTCGAATGGTATAGTATAGTATAGTATAGTATAGTACAGATTTATACATGGGGATGGCAAGGAATCGGATGGTGTTAGGTGGATATAGGACGGGCTCGGATTGGAGTTGTTGCTTAGAGATACCATGCCATGTTATTTACACTTTTACATTTATTGTACTCGACTTTGCTTGACTGTGTTGTATTACATACCATGCCATCTAAAACCCAGTGTAGACCATCTCTAAAGTCATACCACACCACTTATATTGGTAATAATGCTAATACATGTACCCTCTAATCCCCCTTTAGAAACAAAAGAAAACAAAAAAACAAAAAAACAAAAAAGGGCGTGGCTTGAGGATGGTGTGATGACTGAATTCGAATTTGGATTGAATTTGAAGGGAATCGACATGTCTTAAAAAAAAGGTAAAGTAAGGATGCACACGACAGGACACGCCATGGTATGCCCCGTGGCACAGTGTAGCATAGCACAGCACAGCAGAATTTCCAGACATTCTATTTACCAAGTAAGATTAGCCTAGTTCAACCAAGCATTTACCAAGTTCAACCAAGTAATTAGCTAGTATTGACAGAAGTGTTAGTACTTCCCTAGGAATATTCAGGGTTGAAGGGTTTTTAGGAGACAGCCAAGCTATGAAATGTATTTATATTCTTTGTCCTATCATGTCGTGGATGATGGATAATCCTACCCTGTGCCTATTTTCACCATATTCCTCCAAAATTCAGACTCTACCCTGTGCAACGACACAAGATAAGCTACCGCCTGTAGATGACTAAAAACCAATCATCAATCCCCTAGACGTTGTAGAGCTCCTTTTCTAACCCCTATTTCGCTTTTGACACCCTTTTCAACATGAAAGCTTATCACTGATTAACACAGTGGACGTTGCTATTTGCAAAATATCCACTGGAATAGGCACCTGGGATGACTGGAGGTGGATTATCAAACCGATGACCCGTTATTCTCGGGTTGTGTTGACAGTAAAGAGCGTGTGTTGGTGCGATAGTAGCAAAGGTAATCAGGTAGAGAATCCATCGTAGCTTCATGTATAGATGCATGATTTGAAGAAGCTTGTTAAATAGCTAATAAGTTTGTTAGATGGGTGCGATAATACACGGCAGATAGCACCTTGATTTACAAGTTCAGCAATGCAGTTAGCTTCGTAGTACTCCTATTTACTTCTGTAAAAATGGAGGTGTTAAAGTTAGGTAATTAACTACTACTGGGTAAATAACGTACGTAGTACAGTTTTGTAGTATATAACAAGACTTACGTATCTTAGTATAGACTTAGAGCAGTATAATATAGCCTAACCCTTTATAATATATTGATATAGGTAGTCATAGCACAAGTTCTATGAATTACAATTGAATGATTATCATCATTGACACATTAATGCCTCAACTCAATATTCAGACGGATCCCGTATTGCACCTCGACGACTCCAGAGAGCAGAGTAGCCAGTCTTTAGCGCGCTCGCATTCTAACTGTAGACATGTCGCTCAATCCCTCGGAATCGCCTGGCTCACTAAAACTACCTCCTCTCCCGGCTTCACTGCCAGTACCACCTGCAGTACCACCACCAGCACCAGGACCAGCATTAGTCCGAGAACTCAGCTCATCATCCACCTCCTCCAACTTCATCGCCCTCAAGAGATCTCGACCCGCCCGCGTCCCATCCCGCAGCTCCAACGCACTCTTGAGCAGCATATCCGCCATCATCTTGTCCAAGCCCGGTGCGCCAATCCCCGCACCCGCACCTTCTGCTAAGCCAGCGATGCCCATTCCCGCCACACCACCTGCTAGCAATTTTTCGACGTCTGGGCCCCTGGGAATGGGAAACTCGACGACTGGCTTTCCACCAGGACCGACGGAGACGGTGCTCTTGCGAACCGAGGTCTGAGGCAGCCGGAGAGGGGGTGGGTCTTCGTAGGCAGAGTCAGAAGAGTATGGATTGTAGCCGCCTTGTCCGTCCGCGTCGTCGACGTCGGTGTCGGAATCCAGGCCAGAACCGCCAAATGTGCTGGTGGAGACTGTACTGCGGGCGCTCCGAAGAGGGGCGTAGCTGTTCCATCTGCGCTGTGGATGCAAAGTGTTTCGTTCGAATACGTCCCAGAGTTCATCAACGTCTTCTTCCTCAAGCGAGGCATCGGTGGACACACTCATGGGGGGAGACTGGTCATCGGACGAGAGGCCAAAGGCTGTGGTGTGCGACCAGCCGTCCCAGATCATTTGTTGGGAGCGCTGGGCGCTGCGATGTGAGGGGCCAGTGCTAATGCTGGTGCTACTGCTACCCGGCATGTCTTTCTGCCCTGTGAGTTTCATCGTAGTGCTGCTTGAAGTCCGGTCGCGGTCACGGTCGCGGACTTGGCTCGCTGAACTTACGCCACGAGCATGAAGAGACCGGCCGTCGTTGGCCACGGGGGCGCCTTGATCATCATATTGTTGGGGAGTGAGAAGGCCTGGGACGGCGTGGTTGGGTTCGGACTGGCTCTTCATATGGAAGCTTGCGCGGTGGTTGTTCTCAGACAATTGCACTTGGTCTTCCAGGTTGAACGGGTTCTCGTTCATGCGCTCTGTGCCAGCGGTGTGGATCGCATCTGAACCAGACGTGGAAGGGCGGTAGGTTTCGACCATCGCCATATCTAAATCAATAATGGAGCCGCGTAGGGGTGAAGATGGTGCAGAGATGATCTCTGGATAATCGTCAATAGGATCAAGTAGGGGTGCAGTCTGTGCATGGCGTAGAGTTGGACGAAATCCGGGGCCCAGTGTAGGTGAGATGGACGGGTCAGGGTCCTCTTTTGAGTGGCCGCCACGCTTAGTCCTCTCGGGACTGCTCATGGGGAACGCGAAGTCTTGCGTCTTGCGATTGTCGCTCTGCTTTGGAAATGTCCACTCCTTTGTCTCACGGCGTCGAGACATCCGATTCGACTGTCGTCTCGGCATCTCATTGTTCGCCTCGGCCATTGCTGCATCAAAGGTCCATTCCACTGTGCGTCGATTTGGCTTCTGTGGTTGAGCAGGAAAGGTCCATTCCATAGTCTTACGGTTCGCATCTGCTGCCGGATCTGCGGCGGGAAAAGACCATTCCATCGTCTTACGATTGTCACTCACAGAGGGAAATGACCACTCCATCGTCTTGCGGTTATCCTCTTTAGGCGGAAATGACCAATCTTTCGTTGCGCGACGAGCAGTAAGCTCATCATCAGTGTTAAAAGTGTCAAGCTTCTCCTGTTGTTCTTCCTCTTCCATCTCTCGAATAAGGCTCTTCATCCGGTTTGCTCTTATTGTCGGTACTTCACCCAAGTCGATGCTGGGTACATCGTCTACCGAAGGCAGGGAGAAGTCGAGATCAATGACCGTCTCGCGGTTGGGAGCGCCCGGGTTGAACTCGCGAAGCGCCAAGTCCGATGGTGGTCGCCCATTGGAAGATTCTGGTGTGTCAATTGCGCTATAGCGGTACGGCGTTGTGCTGGTATCGAACAACTTGTTTAGTCGCTGCTGTCCTCGCACAATCGCTTCTTCTTTGAACCTTGCTTGCAGTTGCTCGAAACGACCCATGTCCGCAGCAGGTGGAATATTCATGCCGTTAAATGTCTGCCCTGATCCTCCTGCAAAGGGATCATTGAATTGCGGCGCATGTTCGTGCTCGAATTCGTCAGTAGTGCTGAAAGACCAGTCATCATCTTCATCATCTTCTGGTTCCGGCGCGAGCGGATCGGGCGCCTGTGCTCCGTACGGGTTGAACAAGGACTGGCGCGCACCACCTTGGTGTTCCCAGATGTAATACTCTTCGACAAGCTTAACAAGTGATACTGTCGGATACATCTTTGTAGAGTCGATAAGATAAGGATGCCCCAGAATTTGATCAGGGGTAGGCCGATCTTGCGGTTCAGGTTGAAGAATAAAGGCGAGAAAGTCCTTCAGCTCCTTTGAAAAGCGGTCACCTTCGAGCTGTGGTGCGCCTGCAGTTGGAAGATCCCATTGTACCGTCTTGTGATGGGGAGGAAAGCCGGTCGCCATTTCATAAATGGTGCACCCGTACGCCCAGATGTCGACCTCGTTGCCGTAGCTAATCTCTTTTGGTTGCTGTCGGCTTTTCGGATCCGCATCCTTGACCCATTCCCGCTGCAGCTCTGGTGCCATCCAGTACGGTGTACCGACGATAGTGGATCGCTTCGACTTCTCTGGCTCAAGCGTGTTCGAGACACCAAAATCACACAACTGCACACGACCATCTTCTAGGATCAGGACATTGTTGGCTGCACAATCAGATTAGCATGTATCATGATCCGACAATGGGGCCAACTTACATTTCAGATCTCGATGCAAAACACCCGCTTCATGAATGTATTTCAGGCCTGTAGCCAATTCACGCGCGATCGGAATAATAAACTTCTCTGGTAGTCCAGGGCCAGGATCCTTTAGCATAGAAGTCGGCTTCATCAGCGTGTTGACACTACCGCCACTGGCATACTCGCTAACGATCCACAGCTCATTGTGCACTGGTCGAGCTTCTTCGATGATATTGACATATGGCCGTGCTTTGCTGTCGCGCAACTGCTGCAAGATGTCAATCTCCTTTAATGTATCTTGAAGGTTCTTAGTCGTCATCTCCTCGTAATCGACCTTGTCAATCTCAATAATTTTGATGGCGACAAGACTTCCTGTGACGCGACTCTTGCTTTTCTGATGTTAGATCCATGTGCTGTCTTGATTTAAGGTATACACACCCTTTGAAAACCCGGCCGTATGCGCCTTTGCCAATGAGCTCGAAAAAGTCATATGGCGGCGGCTCTTCCCCGCCGCGCTTGGCACGCTCTGCGACCAAAGCCTCCATCTCCTTCGCCTGTTGGATTGCGCGAGCTTTCGTGCCGCCCGTAGGCAGCTGCAAGCGTGTCGGCTCCATTCTATGTCCTTTTTGCTGGACTTTCTCAATGTGTCGGGGTGGTGCAGCGCGATCGCGTTCATAAGGCGACTCGGCTATACGCCCTAAGAAGCTCTCGAACGCACTGCCAGTGGTACCAGCAGTGGGGGAAGCTACTGGCGCGCTGGTGGGATGGCGCTGACGTTGTGACGGCTCAGGTGGAGAAGAATTGTTGGTGGGGTCAGAGGCAGAGTGCGTGTGCTTGACACATGGACGCGTGGCTCGATTGGAGGGACTCGATTTCACGAACGGGAAAAGCGGCGGCGGTGAGGATGAAGTGAGCCCAAGGTCCCACGTCTTTGAGGGACACAGTGGGCTGTTTGTGTCAAGGTTTGGGCTCGAGATGTCTCGTTTATCAATCGAGGAGGCTCTTGAACTGTGCTGCGACTGTTCTTTTTTGCCTTTGATGTTGTCAGTGAGCTTGCTCCACGAGAAGGAGCGACTCGAGCTGGTGGCAGGCGTCGTCTGGCCGTCTGGCCCAGATGGTGTCGAACGGGCGATCGAAGTCAAATCGTCGGTCTCGCTATGCGAGTGCTTCAATTGGACTATGGCGCCCTTGTCCAGCATCGTTGCGAGGGTTTTACATTTCGCAGCGACGTGGCATGGTGTTGGAGACGGACAGGAGAGGACGCGCCACTCACAGGATTGTTATCATATCAACAAGGCGAGGTGAATGCGGTTCATTGTGGGCACGTCGTCTGCGGTGAGCTCGACATGTAGAAACGGAATCTGATCAGCAGATGGCCCCTCCTAGTAACGGCGTAAGCAGGCAGGTAGGCTGGCAGGCCGGCACTTCTTCAGCCAAGTTTGTATAAACAGAAATCCCCGATCACGAACAGCAAGTCAGTATTAAAGAACTATACAGTGTGTACAAAGGTGTAGAGTACCAAGGCAGGAGTGGAAGAGAAGGAAGCGAAGCGAAGCGATGTTGTTGGATGAAAGGCGATTTTGAGATTGTCGAGGTTCAGATGATGAGACATTTGCCCGACCAGCGACCAGGGTCTGGCCTGTTTGGGCCCCACTCGCAGATGCGCGCTAGCGGCAACCTTAATTGTGGGAAGGGGAAGGTGCAGCCAGCCTGCAGGTGCGTCCCCGCGAACGTTGAGCCGTTCCTGCCTGCCCTGACATCATCGACGCCACACATGCAACCGCACAGCTCAGCGTTGCCAACTTTTTCTGTATGACATGATAGTGTATGACAAGGGGAAGGGCTGTACTCTACAGTACGGGCGGCTGGCAATACAAGACAAGATGAAAAGAAACCTCGTCCATCCGTTCTCCTTTCATCCATCACAAGATCAAAACAGTCCTCGAACTGGACTGAGTAGTCCATCTTTCACATCCAACTTACCGACCCCGTAACTACCACTACCTACCGGCAAAGAAACATCATAAAACACAAATTCCCCTCTAGCCACAGGCATCATGGTCTCCCAGCCCATCGGCACTAAGAAATCGGTGCCTCTTACAACCACCACCACCAACACCACCACTACCAAGAAATCCAGCGTCCCTCCCATCAAAAAGTCCCCTCCCGCCTCGCAACCCACGAAAAAGAACCCCACAGCCGTCCAACCCGCCAAAAAACCAACCTCCACCCCCATTGGTGCCAAAAAGCCCCTTCCACCACCCTACAAACCCACACCTGCCTCCAAACCACTCAAAACTCCCAACTCCAAGCCCGTCGCCCACAAGAAACCTACCCTACCAAGGACATTCGCATCCCAGCAATCCGCCCAACCCCAAAGTTGGCTTACAAAAGGTCTGGGTGCCGCATCTTCGGGCATCAGCAACACCGCCAGCGCCGCGGCCTCTGGAATCGGAAGTGCAGCAAGCGCGGTGGTTATGGCGGCTGGAAATGGTGTGGCGGGTGCCGGCAAGGGCGCAGCTGTCTCGTAAGTCCTTTCTTGCTGTTTTTCCATGCTCGTAAGCCGGTGACGATAGCTATCGCTGTGTCTCTCTTCCCCTCGCATAGGTACATAACACTAACGCACCACAATCGCAGAATCGCAAATACATCGCGCACCTGGGGGGACACAGTTCGCGAGTACGGAAACTCGCTCAAGGACATATCGGGTGCACAGGGCACTCGGGCGCCGACGAAGGGGAATCCGCTGGGATTGAGTACGAGCGGGGCGGGGGCCATGAGTGGCTTGTCTAGTGTTGGAGGAGGAATTGGTGGTAATGGCACGGCGAAGAAGGCAAGTGCGAGTAATCCTTTGGGATTGTAGGGCCAATTGGGTATTTGGAAACTTTTGCCTGAGAGATGTGGGAAACTAGGCATGCATCGTACACGAGACTCGAGGGTGATAATTTCAGATTGTTGATAGACTGGGTTGATTCAGTCGATAATATACAGGCATTGTAACACTCTATGTGCCGGATCCTACAATACAAGTTCAACTATCTGCTGAAAGATTGATCGTCGCTTAAATGAACATCCCTTTTAAGCAACCTCCCAAGCTGTCATATCCCCCGTGGGCAAGTCTGGCAACCCAACTGCCATTTTCGTGGCCTCGATCATCTCTTCCACAACCTCAGGAGCATAGATCCTCTTCAACAGCACCCTCACCAACTCACTGAGCGCATTCAATCTCACATCCGCAATTTCCGTATCATTCAGGCCCTTCAGACCCTTGGTGCCCAAGTCCAATCGCATTGCGCGTTGCTGCACAAGGACGTGGTAGATCTTGAGAATGCGTTTGATTCTGCGTGTATACGAACGGCTCAGGCTTCCCTGGGAGCTGATACTTTCGGGCTCGTGAGACATATCGATCCATGCCAGCTGTCGATGTACAATGTTGGTTGCATCATAGCTGGGCATGAGACCAAAATACTGTCGCATGGCATGGAGTGCGACGAGTGACCCTACAAGGTCCTGTTTGTAACTAAAACAGTGCAAAATCAGGTTTAGAGCAGCACCCTTATCTGACCCTGCAAGACCTTGCAAGAATTCGGGAGCGTCGGGGCGCCTGCGCGTCGCACGCCACCAGTGAACCATTTCCTTCAATAATTCAACCGGAGAAGGCAGATCGGAGTCATCTCTAGTAGCCTGGTCACCAAGCGCGAGACGTAATGTTTTCCAAAGGTGGCGGAAGGTGGCGCCATCGGGGAAGACTCCATTTTCCCCTTCAGGCGGTCGTGTCAGGAACTTATAAATGCCCCAAGCGTCAGCGAAGAAGCCCTGACGGCACTTGTTGTCAATAAGCACGTTCATCATATTGGCATTAGGAAAGATTGAGGCCTCTTGTAGTTGCCGAACGAGGTAATCGACGTGCTCCCATTGCGACACCAGAGCGTGGTGGTGTATTATCAATGCAAAGGTTGTCACGTCCGCAACTGGTGTCTTACGCACAACGTCTTTAGTGGCATCTGGTGTTTGGCGCGCTTTCTTCTTGTGCGCTTTCCGGGTCTCTTCAATCATCTGCCATCCGATATTTTCAGCCTTGAGAATATCACTCCTTTCCCCGGTACGGAAGAGTGTTTTGAGTAGCATGTTGAAGTGAAAAGTCCTTGGTTGAGTACCATGATCATACATCATGTCCAGAATCTGGCCAGCTGCTTCGGGCGCTTTGTAAACTACCGCCGCTTTTATCCAGTCTCCAAATATGTGGTCGTGATAAACGCGTGGTAAGGTTGAGAGGGCGGCCAGTGCGATGCTTGTCGTCTTCGAGATATCAGTACCTAACCGATAAAGCATGTGCAGTTTTGTCAAAACCTCTTTGGCCATTTCTACATTGCTAGTACCGGATAGTTGAATGTCATTGTACATGTCTTGAAAGACAAGCTGGGCATACGGCAGGTGGCGCGCTTCCAAAAATCCGACAAAGCACGAGGTATAATCATCCATATTCATATTTTTCCCTCGTCGTTCTTTTAGTCTGGAGTAGAGGATTTTGGCAACCTTATGGTCATGCCCTGCTTTTGAACTGGCGTGAGCACGAAACACGTGCATTATGATCGATGAGTCCCATCCGGGGTAGGCGTTCAAGAGTTGGTCCATTAGTTGTAACGATCGGCCGAGATCGCCAGTGAGGGAAAATAGCTTGGCTCCTACTTCGAGGTGTTCCGCTGGGAAAATCTGCCGTGCGCTGTCCAAAAAAGTTTGGTGATCTGCCTCCCATTCGCGTATGGCCAGTTTTTCTTCCCTTCTAGCCACAAACATGTCCATCAATTGCTGCGACCTCACAGCGTACGACAATCTTATCTTGAATAGGCGCATGTCATTTTCGAGTTCATCGAGACGGGCTCTATGTTGAATTGACTCCTCGCCTACAGCTGCTTCTATGCCGCTCTTGAGTACAGTCCAAGTAAGGCTCCACCAGTGTGTTCTCATGCGCCTCAGTCGTTCAGGATCCGTTTTTCTGGCGTTCTGATATGCAAGCCATAGTACTCTGTAGAAAGATCTTGGTGAGGGTCCTGAAGAGGCTGCCTTGAGTACAAGGGATAGTGGCGGAATGCAATGCTGATCTAACGGTACACGTCGTACTCCAGGGCCAACCCCACGGCTATACGCTTCAACAGCGCTTTTTGAAGGACCAAGGCTATTGCTAGCTTTATTGGTCACATTTGAAATGCGTACATCCTGAGGGCTTGAGGATTCCGGGACATGTGCAGGGTTCCATACTTTGATGTACTTGGGAATGGGTTCAGCACCCGTTCGTAAGGTGCGCAATTGCGTAGATCGTGGAGAGTGGAGTTGCCATTGTAACTTTGGCAACCTGAGCATCAGCAGATGCGTAAAACTGACAGTATACGAGGGCCGTAGACGAGCATTGTAAGGTGAGCGGCTGGATGTTTGGAGAGTTATGTCCAACAGGCAAATCCTTCTACCGACGCTAGCGTTATCGATTAGCAGAAAGCGTCACGTGCAATCGCCTCCTCTTGAAATGTTGGAAGACATGCAGAAGGCCATTGAGTCCATCTAGATAGACAAGGCCGGCTTCTCGCAAGGTTCAATCTTGCATCCACATTGCACGGTGCTGGATAAAATATCACGAGTCCGCCGTGTGTCCCCCAAAGCAGCCTACAAATGCTTTTTCGCACTGATAGTAACAACCATCCTTGGGCCTGACCTCACCTGATCTGGCGAGATACCGTATTGCATATGAAGATGCACCGTCAGCCGCGCAATCTAGATAATTTGTCATATAGTATGAATCTAACCGCAGCCTACCAGAACTTGCTCATCACACATCGGCTCCTGTACGCCGCAGCGCACCGAGCTAATGCCACCTCCAAAATCAACTGGGATCTAGAAACAAGCTTTCCCCGCAATGCATGCATCTGCCGCACTATAACCTTATGTGTACCTTCGCACTGGCACGCCCAGTTCAAGAATGGGACTCAAATTTAGCATACACCCAAGACTTGCCAGACTTTTACAATGCATCCACTATCCACTATGTGGTCAGATTTTACCTGCTTGTGTTTTCGCAACCGTGAACGAGATACCTGTATGGCAATGCTTTCTTTGCAAAAGGCCTGCGGAGAATTCCCATATTCAATTACTTATCTCTTATAGAATTAAGATACAATCGTTTCATTCATACCGCTATACCCCTGTATTCTCATATAATATGCGCAAGACAATCAAATCTCAGCGCCGAATCTTGGTTGTCTTCTCCGCACAATGGGCCAGCTTGCCTTCAATCACTTTAGATCTGGCAATTTCTAACCGTGGCAATGACGAGGATTCAATTATTACCTAGCCGACAGGTGTTCGCTTAAATCTTCCTGTGCTATTACACACATGCTTGCTTTGAAGCTACAAAGTAAATAACTTGGTCGGTCTCCCCATCAATGTAGCCGATAACAATCACGCATCTTTCACAATGCTCTTCAATATTTTCCTGATGTCCGTTTCGGCGATTCTATGTTTATGTCAAGGTGCATTATTTTCTCGCGGGCAAAAATTTCAGATAATTCTTTTAGGAATTCCGGATGTAGCAAAGATGCCTCTTCCACCGACCGACACGCCCATTTGGGACATCGACCTGTTCGACAGTCCGGCTTCGACAATACAGTCTCTCAAAAGAGCAGGAAAGATAGTTATATGTTACTTCAGCGCCGGAACCGGAGAGGACTGGAGAATCGATTACAAGGATTTTGCTGCCGCTGATTTGGGAAAGGTGTTACCGTTGTGGCCAAACGAGAAATGGGTACGGACAGGTAGTCCACAAATTAGGAAAATCATGGCGAAGCGAATCAGACTGGCTGCAGAAAAGGGCTGTGACGCGATAGATCCAGATAACATAGGTGGGAACGAGAATCTGTGCATCTGATCTAACCTACTGACCACGTTCCACAGATGGCTATGTAAATTGTCAAAAAGCAATGCTCTGTCACAGCTGACGTTTCCCAGCAAAACGACAACGGACTCAATCTTAAGAACACAGATGCAATCGCTTACATGCAATGGATGCATGACGAAGCTGCAAAATACAATATGCAGATCGGACTCAAAAACAGCCTCGATATCCTCAATAACGTCTCGTCGATCATAGACTTCGCAGTCAACGAGCAATGCGCACAATTAGGCGAATGTTCTGCATATAAAGCCTTCCTTATATCCGGAAAGCCAGTATTCCAAATCGAATATCCCCAGCCGCTGAATGCGCAGGCCGTCAATGGTGTATCATGCAAAGGTCCAGGTATCGATGGCTTGAGTACAATCTTGAAGGACTTAACATTAAACGGCATCGCATACTACTGCGACGGAAGCTTTGTAGATACCCCAACACTTGGTGGTACATCGCCTCCAAGACCGTCTCCCCCACCAAGCCCGAGCCCTACGCGACCAACCTCAACTCCTCCACGATCGAGCTCCGCGCCACCAAAGCCCTCTGCCCCTACATCGCGACCTTCGACGACGCGAGAACCAATACCAACGCCGAGTACCCCTGGTGGCGGAGGGGGATGCAGAGCGAAGCATTGGGATCAGTGTGGTGGAAAGGACTGGAAAGGTTGTACTATATGTGAGGTATGTGTTCGAGTAGCTATCTCGTGTGATCTTCTCGAATCTAATATCGAAATTTCAGCCTCCCTTTACATGTAGTGGCGTTTCGCCCCCATACTATTTTCAGTGTTTGTAAGTATAAATTACGGGAAGCGTTTCAGCTTGAAGTCCAGTGACTGCTACAAGTCTTTTGGGTTTTGGGGATAAAATCCCAACATTCAGCCTCTGCCGTACTGTGATACGGTCTAATGCAGTTTTATGCGTGTGGGTGGTGTCACGGGACGACAAGATGGGTTGCTGAGCACGTGTGAGTGAAGGAGGAAGTGATTTGCCGGCTTCTTAGTATAAAACTGGAGCCGTATTTCTGGAGGATGTAATTGTGGCTTTTCTACTCGACATGTGTAGACTAGGAGAGGTGTGCGCTTTTCACTTTCTTCCTCAGGCCCTGCCTTGCTGGCACAGACTTAATGAAAAGAGAAAATCTCATGAAGATAAAAGACCAGGTGAAGGGCGGGGTTGCTATGTCCTACAGACTCGCTGTAGGCGACTTTAAGCCCAGCAGGTCAGTGTGAAAAGAACACAACCGATTCTGCCCCGCTCCGTGAGACGCAGGCGTAGCATACCAGATGGCATGCTCGTTTCCACGTGTCCAGACTTGAGCATGAGCCGGCTCACCCCAAGTCCCCATTCGCCAATTAAAGCAGGCGCTTAACGGTGCCAGGACGATTCAGTCAGTGTAAAGTCCACGACGACACTTGGTCGGTGAGTGACTGTGGCCAGGATGCTGATCGCACAGGCTCACCAGCATCATCACGGCGTACTCGATATGCACGCCGCTTCCTGCCCAACCTAGACGTGGGTCGCACGGAGGATGACTTGCCCGTCCGCTGACACACACGTGTATCCGCATCGAGCCGGCTCGATGGAATTACCACCAGGGCGAGTGCAGAAGCAGACCAGCTGCTGTCCCCTCATTCCTTGGGCTAGGTGTTGTCTTTTCCGAAAGTCGAGTAATTGAATGTGAATGAGAAGGAATGAAACTTGGAGGGTACGCAGATTTATATGGTAGCCTAAGTGACCTTGCGTGTGGAGCCCCAACTTTAGTGTCAGGTCCTGGGCAAGGGTCACGTGGGGAAACGACGGTGATGGGGAAATTATGCATGATAAGGCGGTCTACGAAGCCAAAATCCTTAGTAGTCTCCTTCACCTGCCAGCGCAAACGCGGCAAAGAGCAAGTCTCATTGTGTTGTTATTCCCACATCCACTACGGTACAAAATTGTTTACAGTAGAATAGTAAACTAGGGGTTTACTATATAGGTGTAAACTGCCCTTATATATACCTATAAATAGGTTTAAAGTAGTAGTTTACTTTTATAGTAGGGGTTTAAATTAAGTAAAAAAAGTAGTTTTATTTCTAATATATACTATAATACGTAACTAAGACTAAGATAGGTAGAAAAGACTAACTTTATAATATGTATTGTGGAAATTTAGATCACTAAGGTTAGGAATGATTTAGGAGATAGATTATTAGATTATATCTACTACGATCGTACTTATATATATAGAGCTTTAGCTACCCTTACTAGAAGGTAAATAATTAGTAAACCTTCCTTACTAGAGCTCCTGCTTTTTATTAGGCACTTAGTAGTAAGCTAGTAGTTAATTAGATAGTAGGTCTTATAGGGGTATTAATTAGGATTAATTAGATTAAGATACTCTATAATCTAGTTAATATCCCTCCTATAACACACCCCCTAGGTATAGGTAGATCTTTTATTATTATAGTTATACTTATAGTTAGTAGGTAGTGTAGCTAATTAGAGTGTTATATATCTAAAGGGTTAAATTAGCTTACCCTTTAGATACTAACTAGCGCGCCTTCCTTATTTAGCCTATACTTATATATATAGATATTATCTAGACTAAGCTCTATAACTCTATCTACTTAACTATAATCTTTACTATAGCTTAAATTATAAGATTATATAACCTTAAAGATCTAAACTATACCTATATCCCTACTAACTTATATCTTAGTTAAAGTTAAAACCTACTACTTATACTTACTCTACCTACGCTGCCCTTATTACCTCTTATATAGCTAAAGCTATAGTTACTAAAGCTACTACTACTAAAGAAGAGCGCGCTACTACTAAGTATAAGGCTATTATAGACTATATAGTAGCTAAGTATATAGCTACTACTACTACTATTAAGATTAAGAGGCTAAGGAAGGGCGCTCCTGCTCTAGCTCTTACTACTCTAGCTCTAACTCTAGCTCCTGCTCCTCCCTAGACCCTACCCTATATCCTTACTCCTACTCCTACTCCCTCTCTAGCTCCTAAGGAGACCCTAAGATCCTCCTACTATAGAGAGCCTAGTATTTATTATACTAAAACTTATCTAAATTATTTACACTCTACACTCTTTAATAAGTCTAATAGCAAGTGCTATAACTCTTCTAGTAGGGGGACTTAGTACTAGTAGTACTCCTCTAGGTATAGCTATATCCTAATATATATAATCTATATAAGAATTTTTCCTTTATAATACTTAGTAAGATCTATACTAATAAACTAATAGCCCTAAGCTTGCCTAATATTCTACGCTATCCTTTATAGTAAGGAAGTAGGTAAGTAAGAGCTAAGACCTTCTTAAGAATAAGAAGTAGAGGGTCTTAGTGCTCCTTAAGGAGAGTAAGGCTAAATAGCAGGAGCTAGTAAAAGCTGCTACTACTACTACTAAGCTTGCGCGTAAGGCTACTACTATAGCTAAGGGCGCCTAGAGCTCCTTATTAGAAGATAAGGACTCTAGCTCCTCTAAGGTTCCCCCTATAGATCCTAGGTTAGGGCAACCTAGGTAGCTCCCTATAGACTCTAAGGCACGCTTTACGCGTGTAATAGAGCTCCTTAGGGAAGCTACCTAGTTAATAATAGAGAGGTAGGCTATAGTTAGTTATTCTTATATTATATATTAATAGATCTTATATATTACCTTACTTTAATTAATATTATATAATATATACTCTACTATTATATAACTTTAGGTGCTCCCTAAACCTTATAAATTATTATATAGTTAGGTTTTTAGTAAGCCTATTAGCTAGTATATTACTAGTAGGTAGGTAGGTAATATAGAAAGATCCCTTTATATACTCTTGTCTTAGCTATATATTTTAAATATCTACATAGCGTAGCTTAGTAGTAATCCTTTTATTATTACCTATTAGTAACCTAATAGTTTGTTAATTATTATAATTAATTATCTAAGTAGTATCTAAAGTAAGGTGTATTTTAGTTAAAAAGTGTTTTAACGCTATTGCTTCTTTGCTTACTTACTTAAGCGCAAGGAGCTCTACCTTAGTAGTTAAAGTAGTAATAGTTGCTTATTAAGCTACCTTCTAAATAATAGGTCCTCTAAAGAGCGTGATTAGGTATCCATATAATAATTGCTAAGTATTAATATTATTAGCAAATAACGCATTACTATATATTATAAGCTTATTAGGATCCCTATTCCTATATTAGATTAATTAGTATTAAGTTTAGTATAGATAGATAATTACTTAATTAACTATATTAAAGTGTTATTTAGATAGGTTAGTAAGGTATTAGGAGAGCTAGGAGGCTATATAGGTAATATTAGGGCGCACTATAATTAAGGTATAAAGGATTAATCTAACGCGCTCCTAATAGTCCTTAATCTCTTTTTTAGTAGCTTCTCCTATACTCTTTTTAATATCTTTACTTAATAGTAGTATAGTAGGGAATTTTCCTATCTCTACTAGATTAAATTTCTTTATAATCTTGTTAATATATTTATTATAAACAAGCGTTATTATCTATCTCTTTCTATCCTAGATTACTCTTACCCCTACAAACTAGCTTACAGGTCCCTTTTCTTCTATAGTATATCTTTGCTTTAGAGCTTAGATAACTTTGTAAGCTTAGCTTGCGTAGTTTTAGTAATAGAGTAATAGGATATTATCTATATAGAATATTAATAAGATACTGCAATCTCTATTAAAGAATAAGTATAGCTCCTCTTTAGAAGTAATAAGCTTATTTTCTTAGAGTATAGTTAAGAGCTTATTATACTATAATAATAGTAAGTCTTTTAGTCTATATAGAGCTCGTTTAAGATTAACGCACTTCCTAGGTATTTAATATCCTTTAGGTAGCTTACAGATAACTATAGGGTGTTAATCCCTTAAGGTGTTAAGGAAAGCTCTAACAACGTTATATTAATATATCTTAAGGTTAAACTTAGCTCTAATAGCTATTATAGTCCTAAAGGTTTAAGCTACTATAGTAGCTATATAGGTTAAATAAATTAAGTTAGTAAGCTATAGATCTCCTCTTACTACTATCCTTGCTTTAACACTCTAATATAGGAGTAACTATCCTAATTAAGCTTATATATAAACACCTATTTAAGTAGGAGTAGACACTCTCTCTTAGCTAGCCTATTAATCTCCTTCTAGGTACTAGCTTTTAGTAGAGTGTTAATTTCTTTATATACTACGTCTCTAAATTGCTGTCCTATTTAGTAGTTATAGAGATCCTTCTATTATTTTAGCTCTTTTTATAGAGCGTCCTAGTACGTATTTCTTTTAGGGTTTTTAGGAGATTTACTCCCTATTACTACTATAATTATAGCGTAGATTATAGCGTTTAGTTTAGGATATACTAAAAGATTATATAAGGGATTTCTAATTAGATCTATATTTAATAGATCTATTACTATATATATCCCTATACTTATAGAGCCTCCTAGTAGTTTATTAGGGTCCTATCCCTAAGCCTACTTACTAATATACGTTAGTAGCAGTCCTTTAACTTATAGTTTTCTACTTCTTCTAGGAGCTCTAGGTGCTGCTTGTAAGGGATCTGCAGGAGATATAGAATCTAGTCCTAAAGCAGGTAGGTAGGAGCTCTACTTACCACCCCTATAAGAGCTAGATAGGGTGCCCTTACCTATCTCTATGCTCTTATAGAGTGACCTATTAATAGCACTCTCCCCTCTAGGTCTTTCCTAGGAGCTACCTATTATAGCGTTAAAGTAAGTTAGATTACTACTATCTTAGGTAGTAATACCCTAATCTATAACCTATATAGATCCTTTATCTCCTATACTAGAGTTTAGTTCTAGTATTAGTTTAGGAGTTTAGAGCCCTATTAGCTTAGGGGACTTTATATAGATCCTTTGTGCTAAGCTAGCTATACTTAGTACCTACGCTAGAGGTGTCTGCTTAGGGGGTTATAAATTACTAGGCTAGCTAGCCTAATTATCTACCTCCTCTAGCTCTACCCTACCCCCTAGCTCCTACGCTAGGTTTAGTCCTCCTTACTTACTAGACTCCTTATATTACTCTACTATAATACAAAGCTAATTAAAGATATTAAGCTCTTTATATACTTCTCTTATATTATAGATCTTATCTTTACTAATAATATTAACTATCTTTTAAGCCTCTAACTATTAAAGCTACTCTAGATCTTTCTCTTTATAGAAAAGATCCTTATTAAAGGTAATATTCTGCGTTATAATAATCTAATTAAGTAAGGGGATCTATATCCTATATATATTAGATACTCTATATCCTACTAGATATCTAATATAACCCTAAGGGTTCACCTTAAAAACCCTCTTATAACGCCTAGCTGCTTAATCTCTATTAAGGGGGTAAGCTTAACAGCCATAGGCGTATATTCCGCTCTAATCAGGGCAGAGATTAGTAGTTGCCTCCCTTATCTGCTCTAGTTGCTACTACCTAAAGTATCTAGTAAACTAACGATCTAGCACTTTGTTAGGTGATATTATATTGTAAGCATAGGACAGGCTTATATTATAGAGCTAAGTCGCTGCTTTAACGATTTTAGGCCAGAGCTTTATTAGCATGTTGGGCTCGATGGGTTTATTCTTAAAGTGGTTTTCAGCATCTAGAGCCTTAGGGTCTACCTCTGCCTAGATCCCCTTAGTTAGGGCATGGTATCTAAATTAAATATACTAGGTGGGCTAGTTAGTTAATCTAGTAAGTAGGATATCCCCCTTTAGGATTTAGTTACTTATAGTAGAAGAGTAATAAGTAAGCTTCTACTTAAGAAATAGTATAAAGAAAGAGTAAAGCTTGCTAGCTTAGTGTCTAAGTTAAATAATACGCTTAAATAGATAGGACAATCTTTAATAAGGTAAAGCGCGAACTAGGCTTATAACTATAGAAATTTAGATTACTAAGGTTAGGAATAATTTAGGAGATAGATTATTAGATTATATCTACTATAATTGTACTTATATATATAGAGCTTCAGCTACCCTTACTAGAAGGTGAATAATTAGTAAACCTTCCTTACTAGAGCTCCTGCCTTTTGTTAGGCACTTGGTAGTGAGCTGGCAGTTGATCAGATAGTGGGTCTTATAGGGGTATTAATTAGGATTGATTGGATCAAGATGCTCCGTGATCTGGTTGATATCCCTCCTGCAACAATAATTTTAGGTTATAGTATATATTTCTAAAGGAAGCACGCTTTTTGTAAAAAGACGGCCAGTGCTTCCTTCGCACGCGGGAAAGTCGTATCAAATTAAATTTACCGAACTTGGGGAAATTACAAACAAGCCGGGCAAATAAGGCCGTTCGCTACAGACTCTGTGCGATCTACAGTAGGTATGAGCACTTAAGCGTTATAACGCTACATTAATGCCAACGGCTCCGATGCCGACAGCGCAAGCATGCCCAGCATGTTGATGACTTCAACAGTCTGCTAGACA